TTCGAATTAACCCCCTTTTAAATTTGAATTTAGTTATCAGACGAGGCGGAACAGGACAAATCCCGTAAATTAAAGACTTCCGCTCATCTGGTTTATTTCCACTTTCTCCCCGCGACTCCCCGTGTGATAATGTCCACTGTTAGAACTTGTCCAGGATCATTAAAGTATTAGTACATGTTTAGTGTTAGTACAGATGAGAATCAGCATCTTGTGAAACCCGAATGCAATTCCCCCTTCCTTAGGGGTCTATGATATAAATCCTGCTAACTGGCCAGGCTTACTGAATCAGTAATGGTATTTATCTATATTTTGACTCAATAATTTAACTTAATTGGACATACTATGGCAAAGATTGTTTTTAAAAAGACAAGAACCCTTGTGGGATTGTTCAGATTTTCAGGATTTAGGCCTCTACTATCCCAAAGACGTGAACCATTTCAACTAATCTATGAATGTGCACTGCAGAAATAATGGCGTTTGACACCTTTTTAACAGTCACAGCCCAATGCTGTGGGATTTGTTGTTTTGTGAGCTATTTAGCCTTCTTTGTCAGAGAGTTCTGGGGCTGCAACAGACTACAAATCTCGGGATTCCATAGGAACTGCCATGGAAGTTAAAGTGGTGTCAAGCGGCATTATTTCTGCAGTGCAGATTAGACCTATATTTTATAAAGAATAAAGGTGAGGAGTAGAGGGTTCTGTAGGCTTGAGAGCAAAGGGAGGTTTCATATTGAGCAGGGTGACCAAATGCCCTCCTTTCCCAGGACATGTCCTACATTTCAACCTTCTGTCCAGGAGGAATTACAAAATGTCCTCCATTTTAAGCATGACTAAGAAGCATGGATTTACATTTATTTGAGTGTTTGCAGCTTTTATTTGGTAATGTCCCACATTTTTCTTGAATGTCCTCCATTCGGCAGTGACTTGTCCTCCTTTGCGGTTCTGATATCTGCTCACTGTGATCTTGAGGCACCCATTTTAGGTGGGATATGCAGGATGCCATTAATGGGAGCAGAATGGTAGCGATGGGACACACACACTTTCCTCATGGGGCAGAAACAATGAGTTCCTGGGCAATACTTATGGAAATAGGAAGCCAGTGGCATAGTGGTTAGAGCATTAGACTAGGACACTGGAGACCAAGATTCTCAGCTTGGCCATGGAAACCTACTGGGTGACCTTGGACGAGTCACACTCTCTCAGCCTCAGGGGAAGGCAATGGCAAACTTCCTCTGAACAAATCTTGCCAAGAAAACCCCATGATAGGCTCACCTTCGGGTTGCCTTACATCAGAAATAACTTTCTTCACTGCCTGTCCAACAGAGCCATCAGACCCAGTATACAGAAAGGCACACAACAACAACAACAACAACAACAACAACAACAACAACAAACTTATTGAAATAAGCAAGAGATCTTCCCCATGAAGTGGGGTCAATATTAATTATTGGAAAAAGGGGAGCTATTTCAGTCTTTCCACTTCAGGCACTGCAGCCAGCTGCTCTTGCGAACATCATTTATCTCAGATTTTAGTGACGTATTTCATCCTATAGACATCAAAATATCCCACAAACTGAATAAAATAATGACAATACGTCAACTATTCTTACTTTTTATCCTTTGGTTATTGTAATTACAAGTAATTTTGCGAAGGATTTTCTATTTTTAAGAAATCACACTTTTGTACTTGATCCAGCTAACAGGATTTTCCTACATTACTTCATAAAGAGAGCCATCTTTTAAACTTCTAATGTTATTTCTTATTCATTAGTACATATGGCTGGAGGGTATGTTCATAAATGGGTTAAAGTTACAAAGTTATGCTTATAAAAGCGCATGGTAATTTGGAATATCTGGGGGATTTATTAATTTTTGAAATCTTAAAAGAGCAAAAAGCTAAAATGAGATTGGATTAAGTATGTTCTTGCAAGCCCGTTATTCTAAACACCCTTAAGGACCACAGAGCACTGAACAGAGGACATTATGCAAATGGGAATCTATCTCTAAGTGCCCTGTAGGCTTGCTGATGTAATATTTTACATGGTTAGTTAAGTACATCAAGCAAAAAGGTTGACCTTGATAGACTGTAAAAAGGTATTTATTCCACAGCCACCAATTGTTTCCAGCCTTCTTGTATGGTTTTGCAGTGCGCAAGCAGGTTAGCGAAACGTTGCATTGGAGAAATGGATCGGGTAAACAAAGAACATTTGTGCACAACAAGCGTTGCTCGAATGTGCACTCACTTGCAAGACAATCTCCTAGATGAGGCATCCTTATCAGAAGGCTGCTTCCTTGCAAGCTTTGTTGTTGTTTTTTGGTGTCGTCGGCTGCAACGTATGGCAATTTTACAAGGCTGACATAAGTTGTTGCCGACTTGACATCAAATAATAACAACAAAGAGGCCCAGTCATCAACAGCCCTTGCAAACTCAAGGCAATGGTGGCTTCCTGGATTGAATCAATCCGTCAGCCATGTGGTCTTCCACTTTTCCCACCATTTCACCAAACAGCCATTTGACCAAGCTAGCATGGTGTAGTGGTCGGAGCGTTGGATTAGCACCCTAGAGGCATGGGCTCTAATCCTGGCTTGGCCATGTAAAACCACTGGGTGACCTTGGGCAAGTCACACTCTCTCGGTCTCAGAGGATGGTAATGACAAACCCCCTCTGAAGAAACTTGCCAAGAAGGCCCCATGATAGGGTCACCATAAGTTGGAAATGACTTGAAGGCACACCACCACCACCACAAATACCAAGCATTATTGTTTTTTTCCAAAGAGTCATATCATGCTATGGTGTGCCCAGAGTATGATAGCATCATTTTTGCCTTTCCTGCTGCCTTTGTCCCCCAACGACCAGTTTCAAAACTGAACTTGTCGCCACATCACCATACCCAGAAGTTTAAGATTTCTGTGACTATTCATACAGTCTGATAATGAAGGTCCTTCCTGGGCACCAGTTTGCTCCATGCATCTGAGGAAGTAGACTTCTTTCACACAGTTAGTTTCAAAGGTGCCACAAGATCCCTTTGCATATCAATTTTGCTTCCTAGTGAGAGTTTAGGCTTGAAATTCTCTCCCATTTATTTGTCTGTTTAGCAAGGTATTTGTAAAGCCCCAAATTTTAAATTAATTTATTCACTTCTTGTCAGCTTTCTTCACACTCCAGCTTTCAGAACCATGCATAGAAACTGGAAAGACTGTGCGATGGATGATTCTTTGGTATTCAGTGATACAGCTGTTAGCATTAACCCTAGGCAATGTTGGAAGGAGAACATGTCATTTTTTAAAAACAAAATTAAAGAAATGTGGAGGCTTGACCTAAAACAAAGATCTATGAATATTTCAAGTTCATAAATATTTAGAATTTCCCACTTTTTAAATTTAAAATGTGAATATGACTTTCTGTACCCCTACTCTTGTGGCTGAAAGGTATGTATGTCACAGAAATGACTACAGATATGCTTTCATAGTGTCTCTTGCATGGGCAGAAAACATGAACCTTCCCAAGGTTTTGACTGGAAAGTATGAAGACCTGAGACTGAGCCAGTGTAGCATAGTGGTTTGAGTGTTGCCCTGTGGATGCTCAAGTCCCATTGAATACAGTGGTGTAGTTCTTATAAAATAGCAATATCAAAGCTTGTTCTCCCTTCCCCAATTCATATCTTTTTTTGAATATTTTCAAGCCATGGATGGTTGAATCCATGGATAAAGAATCCATGTGTATGGAGACATGACTGTATTATCTTCTCAGACCAGTGCCAGAGCATCAAAGAACTGAATGAACAGGTTCTCTGAGGCCCAAGAAACCAGAAGACACACTGGAGAAGATACTGCACTTCTGGGCTTCCTAGGTCATGGGATACATTTTGAACCTCCTACAGCTTGCCTAGCTTCATTAAATCAATTGAAATATATAGGGCATTACAATCACAGTTCTGTAATCATTTACTAAGTCTTGTCCTTGTCTTCCCCTTTAAACTTGATTTCATTGATTCTTCATCTAACCAGATGTAGCTGATGTGGAATAGAAGCAAACATAATTCATTGGTTTTGCCTCCGTGATGTTTGTAACACTTTAGAGAGCTCATAACACTTTAGGCAAATGGTCTTGTCAACATTATAACAATCTTGCAACAATTCATTGCCAGCATTGATGTTTAACCTTGAACATCCTGAACAGAATAGCTAAAGGACCATCACTTCTTCCAATATAACCTGTGATTCTGCCTGGAATCCTATTGCTAAGTCCCAACTTTAGTAAACACCTTGAATCAATTGTTGAATGGTGCATCAACATATAGGTAGGAACTTGGAAATTTCTTCCTGGAGAATGTTCATATCTTCTCATTTTTGCTGGTGTTTTGATGCAAAATAACACCACTCTTTCAGAGAGTTTTTCAGTGTGTGATCCTACATCAAGGAGACAGAGGGTGGCATCCTATTAGTGATACATATAGGTGTAATACAACTTATGTTTGTGTACGCCTTTTTTTGGCTGGAGTGTTGTTGCAGATGTTGGAATCCTCTTCCCCCATCATGCAATGAACAGAACCAATCAGTTATATATTGATTTTGCTATGTAACATGTGTGTTGCATGGTTATGGGATGCAACTGAATGTGCACATAAATGTGTAACCAAATGCATAACTGAATATGTGTGTGTATGTACAATGGCACCTCATATGCAACTCCACTTTGACAACCCTGAAGTGAGTGTTGAGGTTACACATTGGACAGAAGTATCCTAGTACTTCTATAGGGTGAATTAAAACATTTACAAGTGCTCCCACAAAAGAATTTGGGTGTGCACAAAACACCAACAGGATCCCATCCATGATTTTTGTTGCTGTTGTGTGCCTTGAAGTTGTTTCTGACTTATAGTGACCCTAAGGCAAATCTTTTATGGTTTTCTTGGCAAGATTTCTTCAGAGGAAGTTTGCCATTGCCTTCTCCTGAGGCTGAGAGTATGTGAGTTGCCCAAGGGCACCTAGTGGGTTTCATGACTGCACAGGGAATTGAACCCTGGTCTGCAGAGTCATAGTCCAACACTAAAACCACTATGCCATGCTGGCTGCAGCCAGTGGCTTCCATATCAGTTTGGACAGTGAATCTACTCTGAGTTTTAGGGGCTCTGCAGATGGTACAAAGCGCCATCTTGGAGCCAGGGAAGGGAAGGGGCAGCCACATGCCGGGCGCCCCAACCCCTTCCCAAGGACGCCATCAGAGCATGCGCCGTTGCACACGGATGGAGTTGCACATGCATGGAGGCTCTTTGGGCACCCTTTTCGCTGCCTGGGAAAGGAGCACTATTTTGGCACTCCTTTCCCAGGCGTCAAAATGGAAGATTCTGCTTCCCAGGGCAGCTCATGGCCGCCCATCTGCATCCCCCCTTAGTCAGAAGTTCAAAGGAATTCTCCGAGGTGCTGAACATTATTCCTGAAATATTTCAGATATTTTATTTTATTTTATTTATATGCTGCCTTTCTCCTCAAAAGAGACCTAAGGTGGCTCACAGATAAAATCAGTTAAAAACTTTACAATAAGAACTTAAAAACAATTAAAATCATCTTGTTAAAACAGTATAAACTTATATTAAACATGCAAAAGTTAAAAAAGCATAATATTTATATCCCGCCCCTCTGCTAAAGCAATCGGTTGTGCAGTACAATTAACATGCAAAGATTTGCACTGTGTATTTCTCATGTCAAATCTAAGCTTTGTGTGGACACTTTGGTCCCTGTTAAAAAAATAATACAGTGGTGGCAGTGGTAGAGTTTTTAACTTGCTTTTCTCTCTGCCCAAATGCTTGGAACATAATATATTTATTCTAGGGCCTTTTGGGGGAAGGAAGAAAGAGGAAAGGCAGCCTCCACAATTAAAAGACAAAACAAAATTGTGTTCTTTTTGCTGCTGCACTCCATGAGCTCTGTGTTAACAATAAGCAAAAGGACATGTTACTTTGAATTGTTTTGTTAATGATACAGGGAGATGACTCTTTTTGGCAAGCGACAAAAGCATAAAATATTGGAAAGGAAATAAAAGTTGTTCCAAGCCACAAGAGGAAAACAAAATTAATAACAAAAAATTACAGACACAGAAAACTCGAACAACAGGTCCTTGACGGGATCCATTCAAATACGCTTTCTCTCTGCTCGCTTTTTGAAATATTGCCTCTCTTCTCAAGAAAGATTATATTGTATATCCGGGGCTGCAAAAAAGCATCATCTCCAAAAACCCGTCTGCAGTGAAACAAATCTAAAATGAAAACAAGCCGCACAGTCGGCTAACACCGCCTTAAAAATTACACATCAAGAACCTTTTCCAGTGACAAATACTTTCAAGGCAAACAAACCGAACAGAAATTAAAAAATCTCTGTGGGGCATAAATATGCAATTACACTCACACGGGGAGCGTTTTATCAGGTAAACCAATCCTACTTTGTTAATTGAAAAGCTCCTGCACTGGATTTCTCTCTTTCTCCCTCCCCCTCCTTTTCTTTTCTTTCTTTTTTTGTCAAAAAGCCTTGAAACGCACACACATATTTCTTGCTGCTGCTGCTGCTGCTGCTGCTGCTCCACACATACTCTGTCCCTTCCCTTCCTACCCGATCCCAGCTGCTTTGCAAAGCGGGCCTCCCATCTTTCTCACCTTCTGGGCAAGTTGTAATTGCAATTGCTATTGTTCGGCCTAGGGCTAGCATCCTGGTGGTGCTTCTTTCTGCACACGTACGTTCCCTTACTATTGCAGTTATCCTTTTCGGGCCATGGTGTAACAGCCATTTTCCATTCCCATTCAAATAAGCAAGAGTTCCATAAGCGTAACTTGCACCTGGGCCTTCTTGGATGGTGTCACAGAATCCTAGGAATTTATCACATGGGAGGCAAAGCGCCCAAATCTCATGGATAAATGGGGTTTAAATCCCATTAATATCCTGTAAGAGTGGGATTGTTTTCAGACACATCAGGCTACTTTGGCATTAACCTGCAGTTGGATTTTCCCGACGTTAAAAAGAAGTGTGATTTTGCCACTTTTTGCACAGGTTAATGTTGGGTTAATGCCAAAGTCGCCCGACATCGTCTGAAAACAATCCTGCTCTTGGGGGATGTTCACGGATTAAAATCCAATTTATCCATGGGATTTGGGCGCTTCCCTCCCATGTGATAAACTCCATAAGAATCAGAGAGTTGGAGGAGACCCCAAGGTCCATCCCATCCAGTGCCCTGCCATTCAGGAAATCCCAGTCCAAGCACGCTTGACATATGGCATCCAGCCTTTGTTTGAAAACAGGGAGAGACTCCACCACTCCCTGAGGCAGGAACAGCTCTTACTGTCAGAAAGTTCTTCCTCATGTAAGTCATAGGCTTTCATGGCAGGCATCCATAGTTTTTTGTGGTTTTTTTTGGGGGGGGGGCTGTGTGACCATGTTCTAGAAGAGTTTCTTTCTGATGT